CCCTTGCTGGAGGTTGCAGGGGCCTTCCTGTGGGGATAAGGCTGGGCTCAATGCCTCTGCAGATTTTACCAGCCCACTGAAAGTACCGCCTGGCTTTATTTTAGCAGCAGCTTCATGCCCTGTGTTAAGTTCACATCTTTTGAGCCATGTTTGTTCATTGTTTGGAACTCTTCCTCCTACAAATTATAAAGCTCCAATGAGAACAGTCCATCGACTCTTACCCCTCTGTGCCACCCAGGAACTCCTCAGGCTGAGCTCAGGTAACCATGCACTCTCTCTCTGTCCCCCACAGCCCAGTTCAACGGCAACGAGAAACGACAGTCATCCCCCTCTCCTTCCCGGGACCGGCGGCGCCAGCTTCGAGCTCCCGGAGGGGGCTTCAAGCCCATCAAACATGGGAGCCCCGAGTTCTGTGGGATCCTGGGAGAAAGAGTGGATCCTGCTGTCCCTCTGGAGAAGCAAATGTAAGTTCTCAGGTGCAAAGCCCAACCTCCGCTCCTGGTTCATGGCATCACTGCTCTTCCCTTTATTTTTCTTTATCTTGTTTTAAAAATTCACAGACTAAGAAATGTTAGGGCCACAGGGCTCTTTTAGTCTATGCCCTTCCCTACCCTGCCCCTGTGTACAGATGGGCAGGTTGAGGCTCATGGAAGGTCAAGGCCACCATGAGGCCAGTGGCAGAACAGGGTTGGAGCGCGTGTCTCACTCCCAGCCAGGTGCCGCCTCCGTCCACACTGCCTCACCTCCCTTACCTCTGATGACTAGCAAGAGGGACACAGTTCACCCCTTCCTCTTACATCCCAGTGTCTGTTTTCATCATGCAGTAAATGAGGTTTTTGTAGCTATATGTATACTAAGTCCTGTCCCCTGATTGTAAATTAGATTTATTTTCTAGCTTGTGACATTTTTGCCCCACATCTGCTTGGTATTAATTGGGCAAGGCCTCAACACTCTTGATTTGAGTTTTTTCAGCCCTCTTCCTCCTCACTTCTCCCCAGCACTGCCGGTCGGGCCCGTTTCTGCCCTCCCCTTGACAGTGATGACCATCTCCCTTCTCTGCCAGGGTCTGAATGTGTGCAGGTCCCTGCTCTTCTCTGAAACCTTCAGTGTCTCCCCATCACCTCCTGGACAAAGTCCCATATCCCAAGCCTGCTGCTCACTCGGTGAATTGCCCCAGATCGCTTTTGCATTTTCTCAGTGTTCCACACACCTGAACTATAGTGAGCTCCAGGAACATGATAAAGCAGGTCCCGAGTGTTGTGCTGGTACCTTCAGGTGTATCCTTCTCTTAACAAGCAAATGTGTGATAAATGGCTTATCATCCCTATTGCACAGATGAGAAAATCGGGGTTCTAAGAGGGGCAGAGCCTTTGCTAGACTCTCAGGGTTCCAGTGCAGAGGTAGGATTTGAACTCCAGCCCTGTGACTCTCCCCTCACTTCCCTCTCCTCATGCACATTCTTGCCTCCACCCGTAGCACATGCCTGGCACAGAGCAGGCACTCAATCCTCCAAGAGATTAGCTGACACTAAGCTGGTTCTTCGTAAGACTGTTTCATGTGGATCATGAACTATATCAGTCTCCACCCTAGGGATTCTGGTCTCAGCACGGCTGACAGTGCATCCCTCGCAGGAAATGCTGGCCCGGTGAGCAGGATGCAGGGTTTTCCGATGATGTCATGTGCTCGTGTGCCTTTTTAAAGCATGTGCTATCCGCTGGGGAGGCTGCAGCCTGCTCTGTGCCTGCCCTGTGCCTGCTGTACTGAGCACATGGTTGGGGGGATAGCTCACAGCAGGCGTTGTGTTCATCATTTCTCATAGCCACGCAGATTGGGTGGCAGGTTTTGCTTATATCTGATCAAACTGTGTACTTTTTAATCAACAAACAATGTGATCCAGAGATGCCAGGAGCTGTTCAGTGTGCATCCTGACCCAGGTCTGCCTGGGGTCAGCAGCCCAGCCTACCCTCCTCCCACCCTCTGGCAGAGCTTTCGCCAGGCTGGGGCCCTCAAAGGCAGTTCTGCTCGCTTTCCTGTTCCCGCCTGACAAGGCCCTTGGCCAAGTCCAGAGTCATGGCTGGCTTTCCCTCCCCGTCATCTCTTCTTCCCAGGATTATTCTGGCCTATGAAGTTCCTGACTCATCACCAAGAGGTTCGCTCAAGTAAAATCCCACTTCCATCACAGCCGGTGACCCAGACAGAGAGGATCACCTAATCCCCACCTGGCTGATGATGCCTCAGAGTTTAAGAGGCTCCTCCAAGTCCCAGCCTCCCCTCCGCCCTAGCACAGGGGAGAAGGGGGATGGGGGCTAACACACTGAGGGCTGTTGAGGATGGGCACTCACACATCTGCCTGGGCACCCACACTGCCTGCTGTCCTTCCTGGGACGGTGGAAAACCTGCTCAGGTGCTCAAGGAACAGCCCCATCCCCCGCCGCCTGGAGACAGCCCACAGCCCCTCCATCCTGCGTCATGATTATCATCAGTATATAAACATGTTCTAGTCACAGTTGTTTTTTTTGAATTCTCACATATTGATCTTTAGAGAGAGTGGAAGGGAGGGAGGAGTGGGAGAGAGAAAGAGTAAGACACCTCGATGTGAGAGACACATCGACCAGTTGCCTCCCCCACACACCCCACCGGGGCTGGGGATCAAACCTGCAACCGAGGTATGTGCCCTTGACCGGGAAGCGAACTCTCGACCCTTTGGTCCATGGGCCGACGCTCTAACCACTGAGCAAAACCAGCCAGGGCACAAACTTTAAAAAAACCACAACTTCTTAAAAGTAAATAAATAAATGAAATATAGCTCCCGCTCCTGTTGGGACCATAAGTTCCCTGAGGGTAGAAACTTGTTTGGGTCACCACTGTTTCCTCAGTGTGTAGAACACTGCCTGGCACAAAATAGGTGCCCAATAAATAGCTGTCTGATGAATGGACAAAGTCCCCATAGAGCTGCCGGCACTTTCTCCTTTTCATCACCTCCCCTTCTCTCTCACCCACTACAGTTTGCTTCCCTTTCCTGCCCAGGTCACCAGGTGACCTCCTGTCCTCCATGGCAGTCAGCAAAGTAGACGGCTCCCTCCTTCACACACACACTGCTCTGGGTTTTTCTCCTGCCTCCGTGGCTGCTGGCTCCTCACCTCAGCTTGGCCTGAAGGATGGACTGTCTCGGGCTCAGTTTCCAACCACATACTCTCCCTGGGCTGTCTCCTTAGAATCCTGGTGGTGATTCACCGGTGCACGTCCCCAGCCCACACTTCTCCCAGAACGCCCAACTCCCACATCTAGCTGCCTTCTTGGCATCTCCACATGGCTGACGAATGGGCATCTCAAATTTAACGTGTTCAGATCTGGGCTCCTAATCTGCTCCTAGACACTCAGCTCTTCCCCCAGCTTCCCCACCTCGGTAAACAGCACTACGTCTACCTTGTTGCTCAAGCCACAAACTTGGAGTCATCTTCAGTCCTCTTTTTTTGCCTTACATCTAAACCATTAGTAAGTTCTGCCAATTATCCATCCACAATACAGCCCAAATCTGTTCATTCCTCTCACCTCTGTGTCTGGACCACTGTGGAAGCTTCCTAACTTGTATCCTGCTTCATTTCCCCTCTGGCCCCTCTTCAGGGCAGTCCGGTTGACCTTTTGTAAGATCATCCAGAGCGAGTGACATGTCGTTTTAAAACTCTCATTGCCCTCCACTATGCTTAGAATGAAATCAGACTTCTTCCCTTGGCCCACAAGGCCTCAGGGAACCGGGCCCTACCTCCCACTCTACCCTGGTCTAGCACCACTTCCCAGGCTCACAGTGCCCGACCTTCCTTGCTGCGTCTCTGCTCCATGAGCACCCTGAGCTCATTCCTACTTCAGGACCTTTGCATTTGCTGGTTCCTCTGCAGAGTATGTTTTCTTTAGCTCTTCACCTGATTGGCTCCTACTCACCATGCGGAGTCTCGGGTCAGAAGTCATCTTCTTGGAAGCCTCCTGCATTCTAAAGTAGGCTTGGCCACCCCACCCCCACCCCCAGGTCATTACCTTATCACAAACCCAGTATTCCTGCATAGCACTTGTTATCTGAAATCATTTCCTGAATCTGTTTGCTGGTTCTCCATCTCCCTGTATAGGCCCTATGAGATCAAGAATGGAGTCAGTAGTGAGTAAATATTGGACAAGCTAATGGCTATTGGATGGGCTGGATGGCGATGGTTGAATCTTAGTCCCCATGTTGGACCTGATGGGCCAGCTCCACTGAGTCCAGCACATCCCTGCGATGTCCTCCTGCCTAGATTCGCTTTTGGGTCCAGGCAGAGTCTGCTCGGGGCCAGCATTTGGCTCCAGCTCCCACAAGATCACCCAGGCCCATCCTCTCTCCTGGCCAGTGGCTTCCCCCTCAGTGTCCTTTGGCCCTTCTCTCCTTTGATAATCCACTGTGGTCACTGCCTTTCTCTCATTTGGAGGAGCTGGAGCAGCCCAGGGGGGAACTAGCAGCTTATCCTGTTGACCCCCCCGTGATTGCCCTTAACGAGGACCCAGAGGCCCCCGGGAGGCCCGACTGCCACCACCTTCCTAGAGCCCACTTGCTCCTGTGCTCAAGGGCGGGCAAGAGGCAGCCCTTCCCTGAAGGCCACTTCCAGGCCTTTCCCTAAGGACACCTCTGCTTCAAATGGCTGGAACTCGTTCTCCTAATAAAACAGTGATTTTTGTCAGCTCACTGGGGTATCTTACACAGGTGAAATCTCCCAGAAAACAATCTTACCCGATCTGTTAACTGTTGTTTCTAGTCAGCGCCATCCTTTCTGTTTCTCCCAATTACAGTCCTGTGTCCTTTCTGAAGCTCACCTGAGCCTTCACGCCTCTGGAAGTGTTTTAATTACAGCAGCCCCTGCAGCCCCCAACTTCACGTCCCTCTTCATTTCTGTGCAGGTTTAGAAAGAAAGGCGGGTCTGTGGTCCGCATGCTTCCCTACTTTTTCCCTTGGCCAGTCTCCCCTCCAGGTGTTCAGCCCCAGGGCTGACCTGTGAGAGGTCACTTCCTGGGTGGGCGGTCAGCGACTCGGTCACCTACTCGTTGGACAGGAACACTCACACCTACTCTCCAGCCCTTGCTTTCCTGAAGCTGGTTGGGTTTTTCTTGTCTATAACCACATCACCACTCCCACTGCTAGCTGTCGAGAGCACTGCCTTGCGAATGGCAGGAAGTGAAACGGTGAAAGGCAGTGAGTGTGAGTGCAGTGTGTTTCTCTAAGAGAATGTCCATAACTGAACTCTCAGGGCTGCCGACAGGGCAGGACCGGGAGGCAGCATCCCCGCTCACACCTGGGAATTTAAAATGCAGCCTCCGGCACAGGCAACAGCCTGAAATATGATCGTTGGGGAAGTTGGCCATGTGGAAGTTCAGCCTCGTTTTGCTAATGCTCGTAGCTGCCATTCATTGAAACTCACCCCCTCCCAGACTCTGCATAAGCCCTTTTATGCATCACCCCATTTAATCTTCAACCCCAAAACGGGTGGAAGGGATCCTAATTTGATAGAGAACCAAGGCTCAGCCAGGTTAAGCCACTTGTCCCAGACCACCTGGCTGGACAGTGACCGAACCCCATGATCCAGCCTCTGGTTCCCTTCCTCACCCCGTCTCTCACCACCTGCCTTCAGAGACTGTAATGTAAACAGAAATGTGTCCTGAGTGTACCCATCTTAGGATCTTCGCTCTTCCACTGGATTTTTACCTTCCATTCTCAACAATCACTCTTCCCCTTTTGTTCTGCATTTGGGGGCCTTAGGCCATCAGCCACTGCACTCCTCCTCCTGATCCTGCCACTCCTTCTGATTCTGTCCCAAAGCAGTGATGCTGGATTCCCACATGCCCAGTCGATGCCAGATTCACTCCACAGGAGCATTGGGGTGACCACCCTTTTGAGTGACAAGCACTGCTCACTTGTCCTACAGATGTCACAGAGTCAACACACATCATTCTTGTCAATACCCTCTGATGGCTTCGGTGTCACTCAGACGGAGAAAGTCAGAATCCTCACATTGCACACTAGGCCCCCAGACCCGGCCCTGACTCATGACCTCTTGGGCCTCACTGCCGACCCCTGCCCCTTGCCTCACTCCACAATGACCACCTTGCTGTTTCCAAAACTCAGCAGACACTTCTGCCTCGGGCCTCTGCCTTTGCTGCCTGTCCCTCTGCCAGGATGCTCTTTTCCAGCCGATGTCCTTCAGGGCTTCCTCCATCACCTCCTTCAGGTCCACACTGAAATGTCACTCTCTCCTGGAAGGCTTCCCCGGCCACTGCTTAAATTAGCAGCCTCGACTGAGGGCTCCAGACCCCGAAGCCCGAAGCCCAGCGTCATCTCCTCTGTAGCCCCTGACTAGAATGTCAGCTTCATGAGGGAGGCGACTGTGGGTTTGTTCACTGTTCTCTCCCCAGGATCTGGCAGGCAGCAGGCACTCTGTAAATACCTACTGAATGGCTGGACGTGCGTGCACACACTCATCTGCTTCATACCAAGGAGGCCTAGGGCGTGACAGCTGCCCTTCAAGGGGGCTGAGCCTCCTCAGAGAGGAGGTTTCACGGTGTCAGCTGTGGGGGTCCTGTCCTAGAGTTCTGACCCTCTCTCTTCTCCCCAGATGGTATCATGGAGCCATCACCAGAGGGGATGCGGAGAACCTGCTGCGGCTGTGCAAGGAGTGCAGCTACCTTGTCCGGAACAGTCAGACCAGCAAGCATGACTACTCCCTGTCCCTGAAGTGAGTACAGCCCCATCACCCCCAAGCCCTCCTCAGCAGCCGCAAGCACAGCTCGAATGTCTGGCAGAAAGACCCTCCGGCGTCCCCCCGGGAAACTTGCCAGCACGAGTTATTTCAAGCCTGGGTTTTTCAATTTGATCTTACTCTCCTGGGATACAGAGGGGTCTTTATGTTGTGTTTCTGCCTCCCCAGAAGAGGAGGGGCCTCTTCCTAGGATTTATATTAAATAACCAAGAATAGCTTTCACATCTGCTGTGAGCCAGAGACTGTATAAAGCTCATAAGATACGTAGTCTCTCTCAAACCTCACCACAACCCTTTGATGAAAAACATATTGTCCCCATTTTGCAGGTAAGGAAATTGAGGCACAGAAAGGGGCCATGGCTGGCCTAAAGGGTAGGGTCAGGACTCAGACCAGCTGTTTGGCTCTTCAGTACACCCCACTGCTGCTGTGAGAATGACCTTTTCTTATGTCTGTGTCGCTCTTGGTACAGGTCTGATTTCTAGGTATTTCACAAAGGTTGTGTGGAACGCTGGGAAGAGCTGGGAAGAATTCTGCTGGTGGTGGCATCTGTGGCTGCTTTGTAAACTGTCAGGTCTTTGTGTAAAACTGTCAGTGCCCACAAGGCATTGTTGTCAGATTAGGCAGCCCCAACATAAACAAGAGTTTTTTGGTTGAGTGATTCATCAGTCAGTGCTATCATTAGATGAGACCCAACAGATTGTATAAAACCCATTGTACAGATAGGAAAACTGAGGCCCAGAGATAGGGGGAATTTCCTAAGGACACATAGAGAGTTAGTAACAGAACTGGGGTATAAAAACCCAGGTTCTTCAGCCAGCACAGACCACCAGGAACAGTGAAGTCCTCTCTGCTTCCCTCCTGCTCTCTTCACCAGTATTGGAGGCCGTGTGGTGGAGAGAGGGCTGCTGGCTATGTGCAGGCCAACCATGTAGACACCCTAAGATCAGTGAAGCCAAGGAAGGAGAGACTGGTCTATGCTCTCTGCTCAGAACCAACCCCACCTGGTCTGCTGGGCTCTGCTCTGTGAGGGAGAGTGACACACTGCAGAGCCGTTTGGGCAGGATACAGAGGCACTCCCTGGAATTCCATCTGGAGAAGGGAAGATGTGTTGAGACATGGTGGGAACCATAGATCTTTCAAGGACCATCAGGACGCAGAAGGAGCAGATGTGGTCTGGGTCCCCACATGGGGGGTTATGGGCGGGCAGATTCTAGCTCAGTGAGAAGAAACGTTTTCTAATAGAGCTGATCAAGAATTAGACCAATCTAACGCTGACTTAATAGGTAGTGAGCGTCTCATCATGGAGATGTGCACCAGGTGTTGGATGGCCACCTTTCAGGAAGGACATGGAGGGGATTTCTAACCAGCTGGGAAAGTGCTCAGGACAAATGGCACCTGTATACTTCATTGTCCACCCTCAGACCCAGCAGCTTAAAGAATCCATTCAGTGATCACAGCTGAGGAAAATTCAATAAGCTAAACAGCAACTGGGCTGGGATGCTGGGCTGTAGGCTGCCAAAGCCAGGAGAGGGTGGTCAGTGGAGGGACAAGAGCCAGGTACACACCACTGGCCATGTTGGTCATAGTTGGTCCTCAACTATTCACTGTTCCATGCATCCCCTCTCCCTCCCTCACTGTCGTGGTAACCTAACAACCCTGGTGTCCATGAGTGATGCTTTCAGATCGCCACAGTCCCATCTCAAGGTGAATTGTGCTCTTCTGGGGTAGGAGAGATAAAGGAAGCCAGTAATATCAAAGGTGTGGCCTCCTTGGGGCCACCCTTCTCTGCTGACCCAGGGCTTCCTGCCCACCCCTTGGGCTTCCTCTGTGAAGCAGCCATCACCCTGGGAGCCTCTGAGCTCCTCAGGGGATCTCATTCCTCCTCTTATCCCATTGTCTGGGGCCTGGCGAGAGGGGCCTTCCCAAGAGGACTGAGTGAATGCACCAGAGAGGAGGGGATGGCATGCCCCATGCTAGGCCTACCTGTTCCTCCGTGAGGGCCAGGTAGTAGGACCCGTCTCGAGGGATGGACAGCACCTTGACTTTTCCTTGCAGTAACAAGCTTGTAGTCCATGGGCTGGGCTGGGTGCAGGGAGAAAGCGGGGGACAAGCTGCCCCACTCCCTGGCCTTGTGGGCTTGGCAGTCATGTCACCTTTCTGAGCCTCAGTATCCTCATCTGTGCCTGGGTGGAGGGGGCTAGCAATATTTTCACAGACAGAAAGCACCTCCAGCCCAACCAGTGCAGTGTAAACATTATTTACTTTATCCCCACCCTGCCCCTGCTTTCCCAGGTCAGCCCTGCAGTTTCTTTGAAGGCCATTCTCAAGAGCCACAGAAGGGACCTATTGCCCAGCATCCTGGACAGCAGTCCTGTCCTGCCACTTATTGTTCACTGTGTGACCTTGGTTGAGTTCCTTCCCTCTGGGGCACAGGATCCACGTCTGCCCAGAGTGAGACAGACTTTGATGGTTGCTGAGACACCTTCACCTCTGACGCTGAGGTGTCTCTGACTCCCCAGATTTCCCCTGTGTGTGGGCTGAGCCACTGGCCAGGGGAGGAGGGGGAGGAGGTTGAGGGCCTGAGATAAGAACACTCTGCGTCAGGCCCAGTTTGGATGACTGGTCTCTGTCCACAGATGCTGGGAGAGGAGGGTTTAGTTTTGCATGTTTGTCTAGAGCTATTAGATCCCAAAGGCCAGAGGGGTAGTCTCGCCTGCTCAGCTTTCCCTTGAGGAAGCCCAAAATTGGGGAAGTGAGCAAGGCCATCCCAGGGCTGGGTGGGCAGCTGGTTAAGGGAAGGGGGGCTTGCTTCCTAAAGAAGCCGCAATTCCCGATGACCAGTTTGTCTGCCAGCCAGTGAGCAACACCTGGCCTTAATCACCTGGACCACCAGTGGAACTGGGACTAAACATCCCGGCTGCCGGAGGCAAGTGCCAGCTTTGGCAGGCACAGTGAGGCGTGAGGGCTGTCAGATTCCCAAGGCCTGCCTGGCCGGTGCAGGGTGGGGAGTGGCATTCCATGCACAGTGTTGGCAGGAGTGTGATGCAAATTCACATTGGAATTCCAGCTGTTTTCTTATAAACCTTAGGTCCTGCCATGAGAGTATTCTAGAGTGGAGAAACGACTTGGGGGAGTCTAGCCTCAGAGGACAGGGCCTCCACCCTTTCCGTCCTCTCGGCAGATGGTTATGAGAACCTTTTGTACCAGGCTCTGGACAAGGCCGCAGAGTAAGAGCTGAGGTGAGAACGGCCCTGCCCAGGCTGCAGAGCTCACAGTCTGGCCTGTGCATCCCAGGCCATGATGCACACAGTTCTGCACAGAGGGCCTTGCACGGGGATAGCTTTCCCTGCCACAGAGGGTCAGGAGGAAGCTACAGGGAGGAGGTGCGCTTGAACCTTAAGAGAGGGCAGGTATTCCCCAGGTGGTGGGGACAGCGCAGGCAAAGCCCCAGATGTGCAGAAGAGCCTTGTGAGGAGTTGAGACTCGATTCTTAGTGACGAGGCCACTGAAGAGCAGGGTCCACTCTCAGGCACTTGCCCTGGGCTTAAACCCTACTTCTGCCCGACCCAGCCTCCCTGCATGTCTGCGGCACCTTACATGGTAGAGGCCTGTGCTTTTGCTCTGGGATGGGCCCACAGGATGGCCCCCCAGGCTGGTGAGGGCCAAGGTCACAGCCTCTTCCTCACCACAGGGTAGAGGCAAGTGGAACGACCTTGCTAAGGCTGGAGCAGAGGCAGCAGATTCCCACCCCCTTCTAAGCATTCCTTATACCAGGTCAGAGGTCATCAGATGTCAAACTTGGAAGTGACCTGAGAGGCCCACCTAGTCCAATCCCTTTGCTTCCTGGGTGGGGAGACTGAAACCCATAGAGGTCTCACGATTGACCGAAGCCTTCCCAGCTGGCAGTTGAACACACTGACAAGTAGAGATGGCAACTGCTTCCCACTGGGGACTGGACAGATCCCTGCACCAGCCCAAGACAGCACCTGCATTGCCCACCCATTGTCTCTCGGTTCTCTCTGTGGCGGACACCCCTCCTCCACCCCGACCTGTGGAGCAACCTTACTGAGATCCTGACTAATGGCCTTTGAGCACTGCATTTATCCCCTCCCCTCTGCAAAACTCTCCCTCTTCCCCATCTACAGCCTGGCTTGACCAAGCGCAGGCCCTTAGGGCGCCCTCTGAGCTACCGACAGACACAGTGGCCCCGACACCAACCACTGACCCCCTGCGTATACTCAACGCAGCCTCTGGAAGCAAAGGATTGAGCCTTTAGAAATTGGCACGAAAACATCACACTCTAACAGTTTCCTGTCTGGAAAGGCAGGCAGTGGGAAAAAGAGATGAAAAGTCTTGAAAAATCTCATTAAAAGAGTTCTTTAGGCATTTTGGACTATGAATGGCTTTTTGCAAGTTCTAGTTCCATGAGTTTTTGCAAAGGAATCTGGACAAGATGAGGGAAACAGGACTTCAAAGCTGGAGGGCTTGCAGCTGGGGGGCAGGGAGCAGGATGAGTGCCAGGGCCTCCCTCCCTGTGTGCGGGGCGGCTTCTGCCTGCGTTGGGCCCCTGCCTGGGAGACAGAGCAGCACTTCTTAGGCTTCTGCAGGATGCTACTGCTCCTTTGACAGGAGCCCAGCCTCACCTCTCTTTAGGCAGTGAGAGTCCCAACCCCAGTGGGGGAAATGGCCCTCAATAGAAGGGCCATCTGCTTTCAAATCCCCAAAAATAAAGTGCACAACATTCTTGCAAATGTGGCCCAGATTCTAACCTCAGGAGATGGCTTCTGGGGTCTGGCCTGTTTCCATCAGGGTGCAACTCAGACTTGACTATTCCAGAACCTTCCTCAGCCCCCATAAGCTCTGCCCCATTCAGTGTCACTTATTTCCTGAGCTCCAACCCTCTGGGAGTTCATAGCCAGAGGGGAGAAGATATTTACACCTGTAACTCATATACAGACAGTCTCTGACTTAGAAAG